ATTTGAAGCATTTTTGGTTTTGATCATAGTAGGCTATTTTCAAAAAAATATCGATTTTGTATCTATATTAGCATTCTTTATCATTTATAATACCTAGATATGTTTTAAAATGCAATTTGAAGCATTTTTGGTTTTGGATCATAGCAGGCTATTTTCAAAAAAAATCGATTTTATATCTATATTAGCATTATTTATCATTTATAATACCTAGATATGTTTTAAAATACAATTTAAAGCATTTTTTGTTTCGATCATAGTAGGCTATTTTCAAAAAAAAAATTGATTTTATATCAATATTAGCATTCTTTATCATTTATAATACCTAGATATAATTTAAAATGCAATTTAAAGCATTTTTGGTTTTGGATCATAGTAGGCTTTGTTCAAAAAAAAATATCGATTTTATATCTATATTAGCATTCTTTATCATTTATAATACCTAGATATGTTTTAAAATGCAATTTAAAGCATTTTTGGTTTTGATCATAGTAGGCTATTTTCAAAAAAAAAAAATCGATTTTATATCTATATTAGCATTCTTTATCATTTGTAATACCTAGATATGTTTTAAAATGCAATTAAAAGCATTTTTGGTTTTGGATCATAGTAGGCTTTGTTCAAAAAAAATATCGATTTAATATCTATATTAGCATTCTTTATCATTTATAATACCTAGATATGTTTTAAAATGCAATTTGAAGCATTTTTGGTTTTGATCATAGTAGGCTATTTTCAAAAAAAAAATTGATTTTATATCTATATTAGCATTATTTATCATTAATAATACCTAGATATGTTTTAAAATGCAATTTAAAGCATTTTTGGTTTTAATCATAGTAGGCTATTTTCAAAAAAATATCGATTTTATATCTATATAAACATTCTTTATCATTTATAATACCTAGATATAATTTAAAATACAATTTAAAGCATTTTTGGTTTCGATCATAGTAGGCTATTTTCAAAAAAAAAATATCAATTTTATATCTATGTTAGCATTCTTTGTCATTTATAATACCTAGATATGCTTTATAATGCAATTTTAAAGCATTTTTGGTTTTCAATCATAGTAGGTTATTTTCAAAAAAATATCGATTTAATATTAATAATAGCATTCTTTATCATTTATAATACCTAGATATGTTTTAAAATGCAATTTGAAGCATTTTTGGTTTTGGATCATAGCAGGCTATTTTTAAAAAAATCGATTTAATATCTATATTAGCATTATTTATCATTTATAATACCTAGATATGTTTTATAATGCAATTTTAAAGCATTTTTGGTTTCGATCATAGTAGGCTATTTTCAAAAAAAAATTGATTTAATATCTATATTAGCATTCTTTATCATTTGAAATACCTAGATATGTTTTAAAATGCAATTTAAAGCATTTTTGGTTTTAATCATAGTAGGCTATTTTCAAAAAAATATCGATTTTATATCTATATTAGCATTCTTTATCATTTATAATACCTAGATATAATTTAAAATGCAATTAAAAGCATTTTTGGTTTTGGATCATAGTAGGCTTTGTTCAAAAAAAATATCGATTTAATATCTATATTAGCATTCTTTATCATTAATAATACCTAGATATGTTTTAAAATGCAATTTAAAGCATTTTTGTTTTTAATCATAGTAGGCTATTTTTAAAAAAATATCGATTTTATATCTATATTAGCATTATTTATCATTTATAATACCTAGATATGTTTTAAAATGCAATTTGAAGCATTTTTGGTTTTGGATCATAGTAGGCTATTTTCAAAAAAAAAAAATTGTTTTTATATCAATATTAGCATTCTTTATCATTTAAAATACCTAGATATAATTTAAAATGCAATTTAAAGCATTTTTGGTTTTGGATCATAGTAGGCTTTGTTCAAAAAAAAATATCGATTTAATATCTATATAAACATTCTTTATCATTTATAATACCTAGATATGTTTTAAAATGCAATTTGAAGCATTTTTGGTTTTGATCATAGTAGGCTATTTTCAAAAAAAAAATTGATTTTATATCTATATTAGCATTATTTATCATTAATAATACCTAGATATGTTTTAAAATGCAATTTAAAGCATTTTTGGTTTTAATCATAGTAGGCTATTTTCAAAAAAATATCGATTTTATATCTATATTAGCATTCTTTATCATTTATAATACCTAGATATAATTTAAAATGCAATTTAAAGCATTTTTGGTTTTGGATCATAGTAGGCTTTGTTCAAAAAAAATATCGATTTAATATCTATATTAGCATTCTTTATCATTTTTAATACCTAGATATGTTTTAAAATGCAATTTAAAGCATTTTTGGTTTTAATCATAGTAGGCTATTTTCAAAAAAATATCGATTTTATATCTATATAAACATTCTTTATCATTTATAATACCTAGATATAATTTAAAATACAATTTAAAGCATTTTTGGTTTCGATCATAGTAGGCTATTTTCAAAAAAAAATATCAATTTTATATCTATATTAGCATTCTTTGTCATTTATAAGACCTAGATATAATTTAAAATGCAATTTAAAGCATTTTTGGTTTTGGATCATAGTAGGCTATTTTCAAAAAAATATCGATTTAATATCTATATTAGCATTATTTATCATTTATAATACCTAGATATGTTTTAAAATGCAATTTAAAGCATTTTTGGTTTTGGATCATAGTAGGCTATTTTCAAAAAAAAAAATTATAGAAGTCCTCGTGTTATTGATCGAGAGACTTCAAACATTTTTGACGCAGCGATCAGTATTCGATTATCTAATTATTTTACGTTCGTTTACAGATCATTAGAAGATTAGAATATTATTCATTTGAGTGTAATTAACAAATAATTATAATGAGTGCTTATATAGGCTTTATTATTTAACGGTCAATAAATAATTTGAAATTTTTCCGTTAAAAGTTGCACTACAAAAACATCAATTATAGTATAATTAATAATTTGTTGCAATGAAATTCCATACAGAAAAAGTTTATCATTTAACGGGTTTTTGAAATTCAAATTTTACAACTGCTAGAAAAAATTTGAAATTATAGAGGTAATGTTGAATTTTTTAAACGTACTCATCACGTGGTTTTGTTTATGAAATAAAAACATCATTAATTATAGTATAAATACACTGTTTGAAGACTTTTAACTGTTCGTTCGGACAATAAACAATAGTAACGGAGCTAATAAAACAAACCTGAGCTCTCTACGATGTCTGCTTAAAAAGTTTTTCTTCAGACGAACGAACGAACATTCGCATTATTAAGCTCCCTTTTTGTATACAAGTATACAAAAATGCACAAAAATTGCCAAGTTGGAAATTTTTTTGTGTGCTTATATCCTACGTTAATAAATTATTTTTGAACTGGTTTGTTTGGTTGGAGGATATATTGGAGGATTCCGTACTTTAAAATGAGATTAAATGCAGTTTCTGGTGGGTCATCCTTCGGGATTGTTTCGATTTCGTCCAAAGGACTACAGTTTTGAATTATTGCTTCCTTAATGTTGGGAATTCTCTTTAAACGTTCTTGAGCTTCTCTGAATTTCTTGAGAAGACTTTTATTATTGACTGCTTCGTTGAGTTTCTCAGCATAACTGATGTTATTTATCAGTTGTTGCTGATTAATTCATTCTTGAATTATTGCTAATAAGTTACTTGCAATATTCACTGAATGTGAATGAGCAAAAACTTGGTGTCGTTTACACGATGATGGAAAATTGTTACTGTCCAAAATATTTGGTATTTGTAGAACCACTTTGCGTTTTGACTAAACTCTTGATGTTTCGATTCTCTTGGAATACGAAATAAAGATGTGCACAGTCTATAACTGGCAGCATGAATACCATTACAATTAATGCACTTGGCATTTCCATCACTGGTAGTTCGCTTGCATTGATTTGGACTGTGAACTTCCGTGCTTTTTACACAACGAAACTCACACAATTTTGAGATGAGTGAAGATGTACAAGATAAAAGGTGAACTCGGGCTTTTTGACGAGAGTTGTCACTTTGACAGCTGGAAATTAAAATTTCTAGTACGAGAAGTATTATAACTCATTTTAATGAATTTAACTCATTCATGGAATTGCCCATTTCAAAGATATTTTAGGATTGATTTTTGCAAATTTTTGACTATTGCACTAGATTCATTGGTAAACAAATCACTTTTTGACGTTTTAAGGCTAGTTCATCAGGTTATCTACGTTAATTTACGTTACCCTATTCTAGGTTATCACTTTAATTAAGTAACCACCCCTTGGTTTGAAATAAAACAAAATCCTAGAACTCCACCCACCCTACCTAAAATGCGAACGTAATTTGATAATACAAATTAGAAAATTAAGGAAGACACAACCCCCCCCCCCCCCCCTGAACGTTCATAATTTATTTTATTTTGATAATTTTTTATTTTAAAAAGACGGTTAAATTTCTTTTGTATTTTTTTTCTTAAACATCAAAATACTGTACAGCTTAATAGGTCATGTTTTGATTGATACTATTAGTATTCTCATGAATTATTGGATTGAGATATTGAGATATAAAGCAAAATTTTTTTTTTCGAAGAAAATTCAAAAATATTATGCCCGATCGAATTTTGGAAAATTCAATCAACTTTGAATGTAAATATCACAATGATGGGATCATATTAATCATCATATGAATGACAAATTTAAAGAGATTTACTCTTAAACTTATGATTGATTTAATTTTGAACATTTCCACAAATTATGATTATATTTTAAAGTCTTGTAAACCAGTTTTCTATTGATTTGTTACTTTATATAACAAAAACTATGCATTGCTTACCTACCAAAAGTGATCTGGACATTCATATATCATTAAAAAGGTGGAAAATTTAAAAAAATGTTTTTGGTGTGAATTTGTAAACAAATTTTTTTCGTGAACTTTTTTTTAAAAGACAGACGACAATTAGAACTTTACATACTTCTTGACCCCCCCCCCTTTGTTACATTTTGTTGCAATTTTTCAAACCCCCCCTCCCCCTAAAGTGCGAACGTAATAAGTGAACGGCCCCTTACTAATCAAAAATTTTTGTTTCTTTCAAACTAAACACACATTTCTATAAAAAGCGTTTTTAAAAAAATTCAAATTCTTATAAGATTTGAAAACAAACATCACTGACATCGAATGTAATAAACAATCGGCTTTTATAAGTTAAATAAATGTAAATTAACGAAGATTATTTATGATATTAATAAACCTTTTAAGTTAATTTAGCATAATTGTACCATTGTCAAGAGTGCTTGTTGTCTAGAGTTATCTAAAAAACAAGACATAGTTAAAAAAGACGGGTTTTCCGGGGAAAAAAGCATATGGTTGCAATTTACTTGAAATGAAAATTGAAAAATTTATTTAAAGTTTTTATTTTGCCTTATACACCAATGGCAGATTCTTTTTTTGGCTTTGATACATCAGCAATACCGGTAAGTTATGCTACACAATTATTATTTGATTAAAAAGATTAGGTTTTAAATATATACTGGAGAAAGTTTTAAAAATTTCAAGTTTTATTTTTTTTTGCATTCTCCATATTCATAAATTCATTTGAAATTTACAGCGAGATGATGATTTGGGAGGTGGCTTGGATAGAGAATTATCTGAAGGGGAGTATGATGCTTTAAACGACGAAACATTTAATCATGCTGTAAAAGATGACTGGGAAGGTAAGAAGAGAGTATAATAAACATCCAGAATTGAACTGGATCTTTTGATAATCCTTTGGTTTTGATGCTATTTAAATGATTTATCTTTAGACGGACATGAAACATTAGTACGAATCGAACATCGTGTTTCAAATGTCGACAAATTAGAAGATTCGGACGGCGATTATGATTCAGATTTAGACATTACTTTTATAACAAAGCTTGATGATTTTGACATTACAAATGATGATACTGACATAAGAAATCAATTTCAATTGGATCCTAGTGTGTGGACCACTCCTATAAAGCCACTAAATGCTTTTAATACGAGTAACCAGATTCAAACACACGATTCAAATGCTTCAAGAAAATTTCCACATCAAAATCTCAAGCCACCACCTGGCCTTTCATCTACGTTGGCACAGCAAACGAATGCATTACAACAATTAATTGGAACATCTACGGCTATGAATTCCCATCCTAAAATCATGTCCGTAGAGGAAATAGAGAGAAACATGATAAGCCAGCAACAACAGCAACAACATCAGAAAATGATGCAAGAAAAACTGGCTGTCATACAGTCTAAAGTACCGCAAAACGTAGTACCACAAAATTCCCAAACATTAATTCCGCAACCTTCACAACAGCAAATTCGAAAAGTGTTATCAAATCAACCTGGATTAGTTTATCAACCCCCACCTCATTTGAATGGACCACCACCATTTGGTTCTTTGCCACCGCATTTGCAAGGTCCAAATTTAAGTAAATTCAATCCAATCATGAATATGTCAAATCATCCATTGAATATGAACAACTTTCATCAAAATTTTGGAGGCCCAATGTCATCAATTCCACGATCACAGCAAATTCCTCTTCAAATGAATCGTTTACCTCCTCATTTAATCAATATGCAAGGAGTACCATTAATGTATCAGCAGCAGCAACAGCAGCAACAACAACAACAGAATGTTGCCCAACAAAATTCTGCACAATTCAATCAACGATTAGTGCAAGAAATCCAGCAAAATCATCCAATGCTGAATCCTATGCAATTTCGTAATCAAAATCAAATTCACCAGCAGCATCATAATTCTAATCTGACTAACATTAACATTAATATTAATAACAATAACAGCAACATTAATCAGCATCAACGATTCAATAATAACGGAAAAATGGACGAATATGATGAATATGCAAATCTGATGAGTAATCGTGATAAACAGTTTCTGATAACAATTCAGTTAATGCAACTCAATACTGAGACGCCGTATTTTGATGATTATTACTATACAATGTATAAAGAACGTCAGCGCTTACGCGGTATCGAAAATGAAAGTCAAGCTCATCGTGATAACCAATTAAATCACCCTTTCACACAGCCAAAAGGACATGCTCAAATGTTGTTGCGTCAGTTTAATAATATTGGAAAGAATGGAATGCAAAATCAAAAGAATGGAACTGCCCGTGAACGACATAATTCGGAATCTTCGACAAAAAATGATAAGGAAAATCCAACACCACGGACATACACGCCTTTACAATTTGAAAATTCTTTGGGAAAATTACAATGTGGAAGTGTCACAGCACCAAGAAAGATTATCGACATGGAAGTTGTTGGCAATGCAGAAAACGGCCAAAATGTCATTTCCGATTCAACTATGCAGAAGAGATCGCGACAAATCTTAATTTACATCGAAATGCTGTATAAAGTTGTAATGAAACTTGAAGACTTACAGCATCCACTCGCCATTAATGCTACAATTATTTTAAAGGTAAACCCATTTTGCTATATTTTATTTTTGAAATTAAAAACTAAAACCTAAGATAAATAATGATAATAATAATAATAATACTTAAAGGAAAAGCGAGAAAAGCAACGCATTCAAATGGAGCAGGAAGCAAAAGGAGATTTAGAGGATATAAGCATTAGTTCTACGAAATCCTCAATTTCACTGAATGATCCTGAATCACAAAGCGATTTATTGACAAAACTTCTTGCAATCATTCAACTGGAGAAAATTCCCGGTGTTTTGGCAGTTCGTAAAGGCAGAGTAAGTGTAATTTTTTAAAAAATGTATTCGTTGAATATCAAACTTTTCCTTTATATTATAGGCCCTGTTAAAAAGACTATTTCCGCACATTAAAGACCAACCAGTTCGGTGGGATTTATGGAATGTCATTTTTATTTCACTCACCGTTTTTAAACGCGACAAACTTGAAGAAATTGAAGAATCTCTAATGATTCTATACTACGAGTTTGCAACGCAATTACAAGATGCTGACATTAATATTCTTTTAAAGCTTATTAATAATATGATGACAAGTGACAAGCTAATGGGATATGTCAATGGATGCAAAGTAAGAAAAAAAAGAGTTTTCATGATTAATACGTAAAATTATTGAGTTATATATATATTCTTTTATAGTTTGTTGTATCAAGTATAATAGCAATGATTATAAAATGTGAGCTTCTTTATCAAAAATCTGGCGACACTATCAATTTTACTGAAGAGGAGCAGTGGATTCAATTCCTCAATAAGCTTTTTGAAATTGTCAACAATGATCGAACAGTTGATGCGCAAATTTTAAGTTCTGCAAATAATGTTCATCGTGATAAAATAGATCATGATCGGATTATTCGAACCGTAATAACAAATTTTCAGCGGTTTAAACCACGGTTCACAAGTGATGACGAAAAGCTCATAAAATTACTAAGCATACAATATGATGTGAAGTGAGTTTTGAACACGTGCATCAGTGACTTTATTATTATTATTACTATAACAATTACAATTCTTATTTTTTACATCTTCTTATCAATAAGTTGCTCTATTTTATTATTTTATGATTTTTTTTTTCGTTCAATGTAAAAATAATGTTTAATTTTTATTTTTAAAAATAATTCTCACTTTCTCATTTGAATTTAAAGATACAGTTTACGATGACGTTTACTAATATACATTTCGATCCTAATTTTTTATTGCACAATCTGGCATAATAATGAAAATTAATTAAACTCATATTTCATAATGATAATGCACACATTTTGTATCGCAAACCATTGTATAGTTTTTGTCAAGTTTTTTTTTATCTCTTTAGGTAGTCTTTAATATGTTTAGAATATTTTCCTTAAAAATTGAAAATTAAAAAAAAAAAATTAAAAACTATTAAAAAGATATAACGCTAAATTTTCAGCTCCAATTTAATTAAAGTAAAGTTTATAAATATTCAACATCCCTATTTATCCTTATGAAAAAAACAAACAAACAAAGTAAACTCATTTGATGCAGGACTCGGTAGGAGTTGAAACTCCTCAAGAGTCATGCTTTGATGTGTATATAATTGCACATTTAACTTTTATGATTTAGTGAAATTGAACGTTTACGGTGAAAATGCAACAAGGTCTCTAACTTTGAAGACTCTGATTTTTTTATTAGCTTGATATCATTTTGTTATTTTGATTTCAATGCTATTGCAGCTAAATTGGTGAAATTTGAATTTTAGAAAATTCTTTAAATCACAGAACATTTTAAATTCATAAATGTGTAACAATATATTGTTAATTATATTATTTAACTTACGATAAAAATTATGTGCGTAATTTGTATCATAATTACAATGACAGCAAGAGAATGTTTTTAAAAGAAAATTGGTTCGCACTATTTTTCACTTTTTTACTTCTTTTACATAGTTTCTCGAGGATGTCACTAAAACAATTCAATTTGGTAATGAAGGACGTAATTAATCAATGAATTTATTTGTTTCATCGTTGATCTAAGAATCCTCATTGTCAAATTTAATTCTTTTAGTTAAAATAAAGCTAAAACAACTCTCTCCTTTTTTTAAAAATTGAACATACAAATTTAACGCAAAGAATCTTTTAATATTAATTAACTCATAAAGTTCATGCGTGAAAAATATTTTTTTCCTCGTAAAATTTTTATTTCATCCAGATTATATACAAAATGAAAGCAGTTTAAGATTGAATAATTAAAATTAAAATCGACCGAGTTGTTTTATGATTCTGATTCTCACATATATATTTTACCTACTTGGAGTAATTTCATTCTCCTTTTGAACGTAAATTAAAAAGAAAAAAATCACTAAACAGCAATGACATTGGAGATATTTGTTTAAAAAACAATGTCATTATCGCTAGTTCGCTTCTGTGGATGATTTCATATTTTTTTAAATAAATTAGAGAAATTGTAATGTTTCCTAAAATAAAGCTTCTTTATGCTGCTTATTTATTAGTTTTCTCACGGAGCGTTCGAATAACAAAATATTAGTAAGTAACTTAATGTTTCCAATTACAAATTTTCCTCTTTTTACCTTTAAATATTGAGTGAAAAAACAAGATTTGAATTTTCAAAAATGTGTTTTATTGTATCAAAAATATAAAGGAAAATGAAAATCATACAATATGGATTCGCCCTGATTCGTCATTAAATAAATACTATGTGCAGGTAGCTCATTTTATTTTAAATCTGCTCTGAAAATGGGAAAAGTGAGAAAATAAAGTTCGTAGGAAAAATCATTTTTCAATTAAAATGAATTTTATTTTATTTTCTAAGTTACAGAGATCAACATCCTCTCTTCACTCCTAAATTCACGTATATATAAAGTCCTTTAGTTAAGATGAAAAGTCCAAAAAAATTTCAATTGTCATAAAAAAAGTTCTATCATATTGAATTATTTTTTCGAAAAATTCTTACATCCCAAAACTCTTACAAGTTAGAAATCTTTTATAGAATTGTTTGTTTTTCAATTCTTTTTTTTCGGAAAAAGAGAAAAATTGATTCAAACGAAATTTTTGAAAAAGTCAATCCATGGAACTGCCCAAAAGTTTTCACAGCAATAAAATTCTTAATGGACTCAGAAGATATCAGTCCACCAATTCAGACAATGAATGAAGTCTTCCCTGAACCTTCATTCAGTGATGATGTAGTGAATCAAAACATAACAACTAATCAACAAGCTCAAAGCACCAGCACAAGAGATAAAACATCCCAGAAATAGAGGAATCAAAGTGCAAGTACCTCATCAGCGAACAAAATTTTCCTCGACTACCTAAGCAAGCAAAACGTCGATGTTGCTTGCATCTTAGAAACATTCCTATCTGCGAGATGAATTCAACAAAATAACAAATCTGAGAGGGAATTACTACATCTGTGGAGACTTCAATGCAAAACACCGAAAATGGAACTGCAACGTGGCAAATAAATCAGGAAGGATTCTTCAGGAAATGTCAGGAAACTTCATGATCTACTTTCCTGACTCGCCAACCTCCTACCCAGAAGATCGAAACAAATCAGTGTTAACAATTGACCTGATGCTCTCGAATTCAACAGAAACAACAGAACTTCAATGCACAGAGGCAATGAGTGATCACTGCGCTGTGTATTTCAAAATTAAAACATCAAAAATCAACAGAACTGGAAATACAGTCTACAGATATGACTACAAAAATGCAAACTTGAAAAAGTTCAAAGTGCAAATTGAATCTGTTGCATAGGATAGACAGAATAATTCTGCAAAATTCTGCTCAACAGTTGCGCAACAATTTCATCAGAACTTTTAATTATGGAGAATTAGGAAAAAATAAAATGTTTCTGATTATTTTGTGAAATTCTGAAAAAAAAATTCAACAGAATAATTCTGCAGAATAAAAATAAGATCTTCAGAATCATTCTGGTTTTGTTACATCCATGTCACGCAACATTCATCAGAATTATTATGTTGTCATCAGAATTATTCTGCAGAATTTTTTAAAATAGTTCTGCCAAATTGTTGCGCAACTGTTGAGCAGAATTCTGCAGAATTATTCTGTCTATCTTATGCAACACACCCCGCAAATTTCACGCCGCAATGAAGACAACATTGGAGAAAATTCTTGCAATACAGCAGATGAGATCGAGAATCACATTAAGATTCTCTCTGAACTCATCATGGAAGCGAGGAACTCGAGTGTAAAAATGAAAAAATGAAAAAGATCAACTTCGAATCAACTAAACTCACACCGGAGATTAAAGATCTAATCAATACAAGAAGGAGTCTTCGTCGAAGATGGCAGAGAAGCAGAGATAATCATCTCAAATCTGAATTGAATTATCTGCAGAGAGTCATCAATGAGATAATTAAAGAACTCAAAAACAAAAACTGGAATAAGCGTCTCTCAGAGATTCAACCGTCAAACCAAACAGTTTGGAGAATAGCAAAATTTTGCAAAAAAGGTTCAAAAACAATGCCTCCATTAACAAATTTGGGGAAAACGTTCATCACCAACAAAGAAAAAGCCAGCGTACTCAGTGAGTATTTTCGTGAAGCTTACAAAAATCCTCTGGAACAAAACGACCCACAACATACACAGGAAGTAAACAACACAGTCAAAGAAGCATTGGAACAAGACAATGATGAGAATCCAGAATTAACAGATGTAAGCGAAATCGTGAGCATCATAAGAAATCTGAAAAATCCCAAAGCTCCGGGACTAGATTAAGTCAACAACACGGTTTGGACATCGTAAAACGGGAGATTTGTGAGTGGCTTATCAGGCAACACTTTCGCATATGGTGCTCAGAGAAAAGATCCCTAACAGCTAAAACTCTGCTAGGCCCTACCAACAAGAACAGCCTAAATGATGCATTTAAACTGACAAGAAGAGATCTTAGCATCTTAATTGGTGCTTTGACTGGACACATGAGTATCAATAGTTTTCTTGATAAAGCTCAATTTGAGTAACTCTAAATTTTGTAGGTTTTGTAGTACAGCTGAGGAGACGATGGCACACATTTTATGTGACTGTAAGTCACTATGTGCTTTTCGCCATAAACACTTCAAGGAGGATGTTGTCAATATAGGTGGCATAAGGAAGCAGCGCTATTTGGACTTAGTGGGATCTATTAAGGACATCGAAATTCTATAGCTGAACCTAAAGGTATGGTACAACAGATCTATGATCGCAGTGCCTTTTCGTGTATAACGAACCTACATTTAATTCTTTCTATCTATCTAAGTCAACAACATACTCATCAAAAATCTTCCTGAAAAAGGTATAGAATACTTGAAATTCATCATCAATTCGTGTCTGAAACTCAACCACTTCCCCAAAGTTTGGAAACACTCAAAAGTGATTCCTATTCCAAAACCTGGAAAACCAGCAAATGAGTTAAGCAGCTACAGGCCAATAAGTCTACTCAGCTCAATAAGCAAAATACTGGATGGAGTATTGCTGAACAGAATCAACGATCATCTTGAGAATAACAACATCATCCCAAGCCAGCAGTGAGGCTTTCGGACTGGAAGATCAACATCTCACCAGCTCATCAAAGTGATCAAATCAGCAAATGACAACTTAAACAACAAAAAGTCAACAGGCATGATCTTCCTGGATATAGAAAAGCATTTGACAGAGTCTGGCATAACGGACTCTTGTACAAAATGCTCAAACTGAGATTTCCACTCTTTCCTCAGTGAAAGATCTTTCGCAAATTTTAATAAAGGTCAGTTCTCAGAAATCAAGGTAATCAAATTCTGAGTGCCACAAGGAGCAGTGCTTTCACCAACTCTCTACAACATCTTCACGTATGATGTTGTAAGAGAAACAACCAACAACATCGGTCTTTTTGCAGATGATACAGCACTGTATCATTCTACAGAGAACTCGGCCGATATTGTGACACATCTACAGCACACAGGAAGAAAAGTTCAACAATACATGAACAAATAGAAGATCAACCTTAACAAACAGAAGACTCATGCTTTATTCATCACAGACAGGCACTCCAGGCAACTTCCAGGAAACAACATCAAATTTCTCAACGAGAATATCAAATGGGAAACAGAAGCTTAATATCTGGGAATAGTGATCGACAAGAGAGTGACATCAAAACCGCATGTGGAGTATGTGACCAATAAGGCTTACACCGCAAAGAGACAGCTTTATCCGCTCATCAGCAGGAACTAACAGCTCGACGTAAGAAACAAACTTCTCATCTCCAAACTATAGCCAAAGAAAAAATCTAACATTGAATTTTAGATTTGTATGAAAAAATCTAATAGAAAATTTTTGTTCTTCAACCCCCAGGATTATTTTAGATTTCTAAAAGAAAAAAATTTTGATTTTTTAAAAGAAAATTTTCTAATCAAAATAAATAACATTTTTTTAAACCCAAAACTCAACATTTATTTTTTAAATTTAAAAATAAAATTCTAGAATCTAAAGTATAGATTTTTGAATTTAAAATAATAATTTTTGATTTTTTTAAACTAATCTTTCAATTTAAACCAAATTAAGTTGATGGAAGTGACAGAACTCATAAAAATATAAAGAACGAATGCTAGTGAGGCAAAGGGAATTTGAATCATGTGAAAGATATTCTTATAAATATCTTAAGTTTGTATGGAAATTTAGGTTTGACTTGATGCCATGATTTCTGCGAAGTTTTGTTTTGCTTCAAATATTTCTGCGAATTATTGTTTTCATAAATTAAAAAGAAAACTTTTAAATCTAAATTTATTTTTTAAGTTGCAAAATTTTTCGAAATCAAAAATTGTACATTAAAATCAAAAGTTTTATTTTGGAATGGAAATCTAAAACTTTGCACTTTAGATTTTTAAAATGAGGATTTTTAATTTCAAAACTTTATTTTACTTTAGATTTAATAATTTCAATTAGAATTGACAAATTTTAAAATCTAAAGTGGAAATTTTTGAATTTTTTCCTGAGTATAGCCATCCAATATGCACGGTTATCTATCATTTGGAAGCATGACAAAAACCCACCTTCAAAAACCTTCAAAACGAACAAATACTGCAAGATAAGATATGAAAGGATCACCGATCTTCAAACAGAAGCAAAAATACCATCCATTGAGGACTCCATCGGAAAGTTGCGAGCGAACTTCAACAATTTTCTTGCTTCTCAAAACAGCGAATAAATCAAACTAAACACCTTAAAGAAAATTCAAAATTTTCTAGCTAATCTGGCAAAGGATAACACCAAATAAAATGATCCCTGATCATTCTCGGATTTCGCCTAGTCCCAATATGATTTAAACTTAAGGATTAGCAGACTAAAATGAATTTTGTGTTCATATGACTTGCCTAAAAATCAACTCATCCCTCTCATATTAAGAATATCATGAAAAAATAAAAACAATGTTCAAAGAACTTTGACGACTGACGTCTTGGCGCGTCCACAAACAATAAGTGAGGGGAGAATAAAATGACTATGTAGCAAGAATAGTTAAATAGCATATTTATGTGCTTAATGATTTATGAAATTTGTGCATGAACTACAGTTTTGACAAATTGATAAACTTTAGTTCGAACTTAGTAGCTCACTAATATTTTCTTAACAAAAAGTAAAGCAGTGGAAACATTTATTTTAAGTGATTCCAACTGAAAGTTAAGTTTCAGGATAGATCGAATATATTTTAGTTTTAGCTTAAAGCTCATAAGGTTTTGTTAAACACAACATTTTTATTAAAAATTTAAAAATTTATAAAAAACGTAAAAAACCACGTATTTTAAAGATTTAAATATTTTTTCACGGCACACAGGCTATATTTTATAGAGTAAGGACTTCATAAAAGTAATAAAAATAATAATA